GGAGAGTACTCGAAAGCACTTTCATCTCTCGAAAAGGCACTTGAAATCTATGAAAAAACTCTTCCTTCAAATCATTCTCATTTAGCGGAGTCATACAACAATATCGGTACTGTGTATTACCAGATGGGAGAGTATTCAAAAGCACTTTCATTTTACGAAAAAGCCCTTGGAATTTGTCAAAAAAGTCTTCCTTCAAATCATCCTCTGGTGGCTACGTCATTCAGTAACGTTGGTAGTGTGTATGACAACATGGGAGAAGACTCGAGAGCACTTTCATCTTACGAAAAAGCACTCGAAATTCGAGACAAATCTCTTTCTTCAAACCATCCTGATTTGGCTAATTCATACAACAATATCGGTAATGTGTATAAAAACATGGGAGAGTATTCAAAAGCACTTTCCTTTCACAAAAAAGCACTTGAAATTGAACAAAAAACACTTCCTTCAAATCATCCTTCGTTGGCTACTTCATATAACAACATCGGTACTGTGTATGACAACATGGGAGAATACTCGAAAGCACTTTTATTTCACGAAAAAGCACTTGAAATTGACCAAAAAGCGCTTCCTTCAAATCATCCTGATTTGGCTACTCCATACAATAACATCGGTTTGGTGTATAGAAATATGAAAGACTATTTAAAAGCACTGTCTTATTTAGAACGTGCTTTGGATATATTCCAACATACATTACCTCCAACTCATCCTAATATAAAAAGTGTGAAAAAGAATATTGAAACCGTAAAAGAAGATATGACAATGAATGTTTGAGAAATAAATAAAAGAATCTTTTGTTCACTTATTTTTAAATTAATTCTATTTTCTAGTGTCCTACGCGCGCGTACAGAAAGCAACTCTGTATATAACAAACTCGTATGGAGAGATCCGACTAATAAGGTAATACACATAGATACGTATGTGTATAAATAACTTTCCTAGATATAGTTACGTTTCTAAATCTTTACGAGAATATTCCCTGTCATTAAAAAAGAAGAAACAAATATCTATGATCTTAAAAAATAATCATGAAATAAATCAATAAAGAAAAGAATAACTTATGTGAAGTTGCATTGAATTGTTTTGTTATATTGTTGAACGGGACTTAGTTTGATGAAGAAAAAGTAAAAAAACTGCGTTTAGATGTTCTTGATTGTTATTGTATAAATATTTCCTTGAATAGAGATAAGTTTTATTCTTCATGTTTAGACTGATTTTAAACTTTTCGCATAGTTGGTATTTGGTTACACTATACATTCAACTTTTATTACCAGTTACAAATCGGATCAATGCTATATTTAAATAAATTTATTTAAATAATGCTAATTTTAATTTATGTGATATGTTAGATGCATTCACATTTTGTTGGTCAGAAATTACTCAAGCAAATTTTTCTTGACTAAAATTATGTTTTATATTTATAAATTCGAAGTGCTTCATAGTCAAATAGTATTTTATTTCAAGTAGACCGTTTCTAACTTGGCTAGTCCTTATACGAAAAAAAGTAAACTTCACTGGAATTTTATGTATTGGAATTGTAAACTTTACTTTACGATAATTAGATTTATTGTATAAGTGATTTCAACAGAACAAGGAAAAGAAAAATATAATAAAGAGTGGGTGTGGGTGTAGTGCTGATACCGTGTACCACATAACCACATCCACTTATCATGTCGTGAAATTTTGAATCGATACACAATTTGTAAACATTTATAATACTCTCAATGAAGTTTTTTCTATCTCGATCCAGCAGCTGCAATACATCTGGTTCACTTATATGCATGGATGACTCACAAACTCCATCACTGAAGTCGATACTAATTTATCGAATGTAAAAATTTTGAACACAGATTCTATACGTATTTGATTGAAGAGAATAAATTTTTTTCAGATAAATACTTTTCTTAACAACAAAAAATAAAACGAACGGTTACATGAACATAATACATTCATAGACAAAACAAAGCGATAAATAAAATGTTTTAAAATAAAACAAATAGAATAATATACATAAAAAAAAAAGAATGTCATTATTTTTTGTTTGTTTTCAGATCATTCATTTGAAGACTATATATATTAATCTTCATGACTAGAGAAAATGTATTTTGAGAACAAAAGAATAAAGATATTTAACAACTTCGATCAGCTTCATCGCCACCTGTTTTTCCAATAGCATCAGGATTTTGTATTGGATCAAGTTCAGCAAATAGATTTAACCAATTTGATTTATCGGAAGTTTTTGTTGTTGCTATAGGTTTTGGTTTAGGATTTGATGATGGTGATGGTTGAACTGTTGGTTTATTATTTTTATTCATTGAAGTTAATAATTCACTAAGAAGTGATGATGGAAGAAAACTATTATTGGATGCAGAAGATTCTGTAGGAATATTAGGTATCTGTTGTTGATTTGAAGTATTACCAAATGCTGCTGTCCAATGAGCATCAAAACTATTATTATCATTTGATCCAAGAAGATCTGTAGTCGTATTTCCTGTTGTTGTTGATGATGATGATGATGAAAGTAGATCAGAAAATAGTTTGTCATGTTCAGCAATTGTATCTGCTAATTCAACAAGATTATCATCACTAGTTGATGTTTTCTTCATATTTCCAGATGTTGTTGGTGTACGATCAATTGTTGTTAATTTTTCTAATTCAAGAAGTTGATCATCAAGTTGATCATCAGATATATCAATTAATGCATTAACAGGTTCCGTTAGATCCTGTATTTCTTTTTGATTATTTTTTGTTTCATTAACATTAATAAGTGCATCATCTTTCGTTTTAGTTTTTTCAATCGATGATTTCGAATTTAATTCAGCTAATAATCGACTTGGTTCAGCAAGATCTTTAATAACAGTAAATTCATAATATTGATAACCTTTAAATGATTCAGCAACAGCTGACATTGTTTTTGAAGTTTTCTCCCAAAAGACAAGTAAACTTTTTTGATAAGTAGCTAACGCATGTGAATACATATTACTAAAAATAAATAGATTTATTTTTTTTCTAAAACAAAAATTCTTTTATTACCATCGACTAGCTGTTAATAAATCAATTTTTTGTAGAACATCAGATTTTAATCGATCATATTCAGTTTTAGTTGTTTTTACTTGACTTTGTACTCGACGAAATTTTTCTAATTGTTTTTCTGGATCAAGTTGTACCGATGCATCTTTTAACCATAATATACTTCCACGATATTCTGTTCTTGCTGTTTCCATTCGTTTCACTGTTGACATTGTATCTGTTACTGCACGATGACGAAATGTTTCGATTTCATTATGTAAACGAAGTAATGGTTGACGTAATGCTAAACGTTGATGTGCTGTATAAGCAAGAACTTTCGATACACTTGCCATCATTTTTCCAGCTCGAGTTTTATCCATTTGAGCATAATCTTTTAAAAAACGTGCCATGTCTGTTTCTTCATGCGAAAGAAAGAGAACATTTGTTTGATAACTTTCCATAACCTATATAAATAAAATAACACAATCGATTTAATGAATTAAAAAGAAATCTAAATTTACACGAAGTAAATCATGGCATGATTGTCTAACAGCATATAATAATTCAAGTTTAGCATCGACATCTGCATCTGATGCAATAACAAATTCATCTTCTTCTCTACCAAGTTTTTTCATAACAAGCTGTTTTGTTGTCCAATATTTTGAACGTAATTTACCCATACTTGTATTATCTTGATGTTCAGCATGTTTATCATAAAAATTTTTCGAACTCATTCTTTCTATTAATAAAAAAAAAAGTCAAATAATTGATGATGATTTATCAACATCAATATAATATGTCGAGATTTTTCTTTTAACCAATGAATTTCTTTCCTTGATCCTCTATGAAATGAAGAGATCATTGGTGAAAAAAATGAAAACTTCTTATAACACGTCATCCATATAGATATTTTTAAAACCGACAACACAAAGATGAATCGTGTCATACAAACGATAGCTCTCATCTTTCTAGGTTGTTGTTCAAATGTTATATTTCTGGAATTTATTGTTAGGTATATATTTAAGTACTTTTTTTCTCAAAAAAAACTATCATTTATTTAATAGACCATATCCAGGAAGTGGAAATATTATAACATTTGCACAATTTCTCTTTATTGCCATTGAAGGTTGCATTAATTATTATCAATGGGGTGGAGTACAACGACATGTTCCACTCAAGTATAGATTTCAATTAAAAAAAATAAATTTTCGTCAAATTTTTTTATAGAAATTATGGAATATTGGTATTAATGTTTTTCTTAGTTAGTGTTATTAATAATTATGCATTGAATTTCAATATACCAATGCCATTACATATGATATTTCGATCAGTAAAAATTTCTACAGACTTATTTTTTGATAAATGACGTTTTGTTTTTAGGGCTCATTAATTGCGAATCTTATTTTGGGCATGATTATATTGAAGAAAAGGTATGCATAGATAAGAATGAACTGATAAGAATATAGAATTCATTTTTTATTTTATTTCAAGATATAAATTTCGTGAAATTCTTTCAGTAGTTTTAATTACATTTGGAATTATTTTAGCAACATATGCTTCAAGTCAATCATTGAACAAACAAAAGTCAGCAAATAATATCAAAATTGATCAAACAGAACCAGATGTTTTCCGATGGACTATAGGTATTTGTATGTTAGTTTTTGCTCTACTTGTTTCGGCATTAATGGGTATTTATCAAGAAACAATTTATGCAAAATATGGTAAACATCCTCAAGAAGCACTATTCTATTCAGTAAACAAACCTTTTTTTCTTTATTTCGATTCTTATTTTTTTGTTTTTAGCATCTGTTACCTTTACCATTATTTGCACTGGTTGGAAAAGATATTTATCAGCATGCTCAATTATTTAATCAATCAAGTAAATCTTTAAATTCTGTTTTCCTATTGATATCATTCTTTATTTTAGCTTGGCTACCTATTTTTTCTAATGTTGGTGTTCCAATAATGTGGGCGTATTTATTTTGTAATGTCTTGACACAATATTTTTGTATTAGATCTGTATTTATATTGACAACAGAATGTCCATCATTAATTGTGACATTAGTAATAACATTACGAAAATTTGTTAGTCTACTTTTTTCAATAATTTATTTTCAAAATGAATTTACATTCAATCATTGGATTGGTACAGCATCAGTTTTTCTAGGAACATTTCTATTTAGTAATATTCACAATGAAATTATTCGTTTTTTTCGAAGACCAATAAACGACCATGTAGATTAGAAAAAAAATATTTATTTACTGACCCTTTTTTATTTGTAGATTTTGTATTAATTATTATTATTGAAAAGAATGACTCAAATCAATGCAATTGATACTGGTCATGAAGAAATTATTGTATGTAAATTTTTTTATTATTTATTTGGAAGAAAATACAGATTGTTGAAATTATTTTAGCATGATGCTCAATTAGATTATTATGGTATACGCTTAGCTACATGTTCATCAGATAAAAGTATAAAAATATTTGATGTTTCCAATAGCCAACAACGTTTGATAGCTGAATTAAAAGGGTAAGAATTATCTACTAAGTTAAATAATAATAAATTTATGATTTTTTAAAGGCATGAAGGTCCTGTTTGGCAGTTATCATGGTCACATCCAACATTTGGCAGTTTACTAGCATCTTGTTCATATGATAGAAAAGTATTAATATGGAAAGAGACAACACCAACTGGACTACCACCACAATCGAATCCAACTGGTGCTACGCAATATTCAGTCATATATGAACATGAACGACATACATCTTCTGGTAAGAAATATTCTATTCTATTAGTTTCGAAATTAAACTGAACGATAATTTTAGTTAATACAGTTGCTTGGGCTCCATATGAATATGGTCTGATGTTAGCATGTGGAAGTTCGGATGGTTCAATATCGATTCTTAGTTCAACTGGTAAGAACCTATTTTTATAAAATTTTTTTTAAAGAGAAATCTTTTGCTTTCTAGGTGATGGTAAATGGACTACAAGAAAAGTTCCTGATTGTCATCCAGTTAGTTAATTTTCTATGTAATGAATATTTTTGATCTATTTGAATTCTTTTTCTTCTTAGCCTGGTGTTAATGCACTTAGTTGGGCACCAGCTGTTCTTCCTCAATCAAGTGATGATGCAGGTGTTCAAGGAACAACAGGTGAACCTGTTAAACGTTTTGTTTCAGGTGGCTGTGATTGTTTAATTCGTATATGGAAGTAAGTTATTAAATTTTTTTTGTGTATTAAAATCATTATTTCTTGTTTAGAGAACAAGATGATGGATGGGTCGAAGAAACTCATCTTGATCAACATAATGATTGGGTACGCGATGTTGCTTGGGCACCCACATTTAGTTTTCATAAAGATAAAATTGCTAGTTGTTCACAAGATGGTAATGTGTATGTATTTACACGTGATACACGTTTATCAAATAATTGGGAATGTATTACAATTGGTACACATTTTAATGATGTATGGAGTGTTAGTTGGTCATTAACAGGTGATATACTTGCTGTTGCTGCAGCAGATAAAGTTAGCTTATGGAAACTTGGTCTTGATGGTAAATATCAATGTTTAACAACTCCACAAACATCATCAACAAGCACAGGATCACCATCAATTAATAGTACAATGGAAAGTACAACAGGTGAATCTGGAAATATTCCAGTAATGGCAACATAAATAACATTTACATAGATGTTTAATCTCTTATTGTTATTCTTTTCTTTTAGCTAAAATTTTTTTGTGCAGAAAAAAAAAAACCATATACGGAAAATAAAATTTCTCTCTTTTTTTGGTTTGTTTAGTTTTAGATTTATCTCAAAAAAAAATAACTATGAGTCAATTAGGACAAGTTGTAGGAATTTTACGTAAACTCAATGAAGAATATCAAATTAGTACACCGAAAAAATTAAAATTAATTGATGCTTATTTAGTTTATGTTTTACTAACGGGAATTATTCAATTTGCTTATTGTTTACTCGTTGGTACATTTCCATTTAATTCATTTCTTTCGGGTTTTATTTCAACTGTTGGATGTTTTATTTTAGCTGGTAAAACAGTTTAAAATTTCGTAATAAATAACTTTCTCTTGTGTCTTTTTAGCAAGCTTACGTATTCAATTAAATAAAGCGAATCAATCAACATTTAATGTTACACCGGAACGAGCATTTGCTGATTTTGTCTTTGCTCATATTATTTTACATTTAGTTGTAATGAATTTTATTGGTTAAAAGACAAATTTCCATATGATTAAAGCTTGATGTTTTAGCGTTTGTTTTTGCTTTGAATGATAAATAAACAAAAAAGATTGTGAACATTCTACTAATTGATTTTATATAATTACCTTTCTATAACACATTCAATTAGTTGTTTTTTGATAATAATTTGTAACAGTTATTTACCTAGATGATGTAAAATTATGATGACATGGATACACGGTTCATTGAGTTTATAAGCGAAAATAAAAATAAAGTTGTAAATGATTTTGTTATGATATTTATTTTTCAAAAAAAAAATATAAGATAATTACAATAAAAATAAATCCATTAATTACTATCTTCACTAATATTCTTCAGTACAAAAAAAATCATATTATCTCTTATTTGATACAAAAATGTGAATTGAATACAGGGTTAATTTACTTGCAAAAAATGAAAAATCGAGTATGTTTTAAAATATAGAAAGAGGACATCTAAAAGAATGGATACATACGTTGTTGTTGCGGTTGTGGCATCATAAACCAATTTGGCATATTTACATTAGGGTACATCGATGGGTAGAGAGGATGTTGAAATTGAGGATAAAATTGAGCCTGAGGCTGCACCATTCTATCGAACTGTGGATGATGTTGTGGTATATGTTGCTGCTGCTGCTGTTGTTGTAGTAATTGTTGTTGCTGTATATGTTGCTGTTGCTGTTGTTGTAGTAATTGTTGTTGTTGTATATGTTGCTGTTGTAGCTGTTGTTGTTTTTGCTGCTGCCTCATAAAATGTCGTGCTTGCTGCTTTGCTTGTTGTACCTGTTGTTGATGAAGGCGGAGCATATCAGGAGAAGCAGGTACCGGATGTTGACCAACAAAAGCTGGAGAAGAGGCACTTGGCTGTAATAGTTGAGGTGAAATTGGTCGTCGACGATACTTAACTGGAGTACCTGGTAAAGGATGTTGAAATTGCTCAAATGAATCACGTCGAGCGGAACGATCAAATCCTTGTTCATTAGAAGCACGTCGATTTTGATTGAATCCACCAAATTCAGGTCTTACATTTTGATTCATAAAATTTTTATCTCTTCTATGCTTCGGTTTACGAGGGGGGAGAACAGGAAGTGCTTCATAACCATGCTGTTCTCGAGCACCATTGACTGCATCAAAAAAACTTCGTGGTAAAGGGCCATAATCAAGATTAAATGATGAATCTTCATCTCCTATTTGATGTTTACCATTTGATGATAATGGTGATATATGAGCACTACTAAATTTCTTAAGTTTTCGAAAGAGTCCCATGTTGCGCTGTCAATAACAACAATAATGATCGATCATTATGTTGTGTATTTTCTATGTAATTATAAAACGTGAAATCAATCAAGCATATCAAATCAAGTGCAAAGGTAGTGAGTCATTGTAATATCTATTACATATGTAGGTGTTGCAATTCGTTAGTAATATCTTGACTGAAATTATTCATTCGTGATATATACATAATATTGATATTGATGCATAACAATCAAGATCTTTTTTGTTGATTGAGCAATTGAAATAATTTTTGTTTAGTATAATAAGTGAAGAAAAATTTCACAGACATTATACATACCAGGGAAATGAATTTTCATATGTAACACACTCTGATTATGTAACAAAAAAAAGTAGATCGCTCTCCTTGAAAATGCACCATCATTTTTAATTAAATATTTTATCTTAAAATTCTAATCTCGTGTTCTAAACTACTATTGTATAAGAGGTGTCAACGAAACCAGATCAAATCATTAGCAAATATTATTACAACTCTTACTAGTAATAAAATGATTTTTTATATCGTATTAAATCCTCGCATAACTTGAATACAAATATATGCAAATATTATAAATATTGATAAAATATTATAAACACACACTTCAAATGCCCTCATTTGTTATCGAGTCATATAATCCCTATAAAACAAAATCAATAGTATTGATTATTTCATTGAAAATAAAATAGTTTTTTTTTTATCAAATTCTAAATAAGTAGTAGTAAAACTTAACAAAGAAAAACATAATTGATTTTAAGCCTACATATTTCATGCGCAAAGTCATCGAAAAAAAATAATATTGCAATTTTTTATTTGTTAAGTAAAGAATTGAATAAAAAAAAAAGCTATTTATAGAAACACTCTTAACTGAGACTACTCTTATCATGCTTTTAAAAATTCACCTTGACAAAAGAAATCAAATAATAATTGATAAAAATTCGGGTTTTTCGACTAGTTTCAATATTTAATTATCATATAAAAGTGATTATGAATCTGTTGATATGCATGATGTTAATTAATATGATATATCGTATCAATCAAATTATCATATCTTCTTCTTCTTCCTTCTTTACATCAATTATTATCATCTCTTTATAATTGATGCGAATTTATCGAAGTATATAGACAAGCATAACATACTTTTATAATAAAAAATATCATTTTCTCTTTCGATTAAATCTAACTATGCAACAATCATCATCATTTATCTATCCATCATCACCATCATCAAATCTTTCTTTTTCTGATTCCGGTTATTCATCACCTTCATTGCATTTCTCATCATGTCCATATTCAAATGAATCCTTCTATCTTTCTCCTTCTCATTCATGTAAGCTTTTTAGATGATTAAAAATTTCAAAATAACTCTTCTCATTTTTCTTAGATCCGTTATCATCTTCAATCTATGATCAATCAGTTGTAAATAGTACACCGATCTCATCATTTAAAGTAAATCATTGATATACATTTATTCAATAGATTAACATTGTTTATTTTCTAGAATTGTCAGTATAAATATGATCAAAATAGACAATTGACTACATCATCTCCATTAGTTCATTGTGTAAGATTTTTTTTCTTAATTAATATTCTTTTCAAGCTTTATTTTATACTATAGGCACGTAAACGAATCAGTGATGAAGCAATCGAATATCTCAACACATTTTATGCAAGAAATAAACGCCCAACAGATGTGGAAAAAGATCATCTTGCTGTGCAATGCAATATAACATTAGCACAAGTTAATACATGGTTTAATAATGCACGTTCCCGTCGTGGTGATACAAGAACAAAATTAACACAAAAATTATTAAAAAAACAAATCGATTCGTTAAGTAATCAAATTGTTCAACTTCAACAACAGCAATCATGTTCATTTTAATTTCATTTTTTTTTCTACACTTTCTCTTTTCGTGTCAATAAATGTTCTTCATAAGCAAATATAGTTCATTTGTCATATATAGATTCAGATGAAGTCCATTTGCATAATTACATGCTTGTGTTAAATTTTATGTTCGCTTGATAAATGTACATATATATATATGTGTCGTACTATGGATGCCATCAGAATGGTACTGTATCAAGATTAGACAGATTCTTGTGATTATGTATGGCTTACAATAATTCATTCTTTTCTCCTTCATCTGACACTGACAGGTCACCACATGCCTCAAGCGGTACCAGTGCCAGCAACCGTGAATGAGGTGGTTCCCTCCACTTGACTGCACTCTTTTCTCTTCTCCATTTCTTTTGCACTGTACAATAAACGTTCAGTGAAGAGATTGCCCTATGCTCGAACTTTATGCATAATAACGGAGGAGAGTAGAACATAAAGAAAAGTTTCTGTTCTCTTTTTCTTCTCTTCGTCGCTCATTAGTAGTCGTACATATATATAGAGAATAAGGCGAGACCATCATGCTCTTGAACAATAACAATACAAGTCGGACACAAATACTAAGATGAACTCATCCCGTTAAGAACGAGTAAGTATAATGACTGAACGTGTGCGCGTGTGATTGATCGATCGACACAGTGTATATGTTTGTATATATGTATATATATATATATACATATCTTTACATCAAATTCGTTTCGATTTTATTACTTTCAATTTTAAATAAGACAAATGAAGCGAAAGATATATATATATATATTTGTTCATTTGATAACCTTCATTATGATGTCATAAAAGTTTGCTTTAGTTTAGCATAAACTACAAATGGCATAAAGAAATAAGCATTGAAGTGAAGCCGTGAATGAAAATTGAATTGATTCTTTTTTTTAAATATACACACGTAGCCTATACATGAGTTTTGCTTGTTTCTCCGTTCATTTTTTTTTCTCGTCTTCTTCTTCTTCTTCTTTTTACATACTTAATCATAAAAACCGGCTGAGATATGTTGTCACAGATGGTGACAGTAAAATTCTAAACGTGTTGAGTCATGAAATAATATAGAGAGAAAAAAAAACGATACAATTTGTACATTATTATACAAAGAAAAAGGTGAGTTTGTAAATGTGTAAGTGAATAGATCGATTAGGGTTAGTAAAACTATTCATATTGTATTATTTAAGGCTCATCAAAAAATTGAAAGTAAACAATAGATTTCGCTCTTTTTTTTTTTACATCACAAACTGTCTTCTCATTTATTCTCACGTTTGTTATTTTTACTAGCGTATCGTTCACTACCACCAGTACCTATTACTTGACATTCTAGATGCTATTTACCATCATATCCATTATTATTGTACATGAACAGGAAGGACGTGTTCACCTATCAAATTCTCGTCAGTTTTTTTCTATTCATTTTACAAATCAACGATCAGTAACAATCAATTTCGTATATATATGTATATATAATATATAACATTTTTCATTTTCGAAAAGATATACATACTCTCGTAAGACTATGTTCAAATGAACAAAGCGAGTAAAATAGAAGAGGCATGAAAATGAAATTTTCAAAATGCAAGGACATCATTTTTTTGTCAAAAAATTTTACATCATAATGTATACAATTGTCTGAGTAAATAGAATTGTTCGATTTTAATTTTCTCTCTTGAGAACATCTCATCTTAACCTTCATCGTCCAGATTTTTACGACCTTTGTCTTTATCAATGATACTTAGATGTTTGAAATCTGAGCCAATTGCTTCGATTCTCATCCTTCTTTTTTTCATTTTCTTGTTTGCATCATAAGTTTTTCTCTTCGCTCTCGTCATCACTTTTTTTTAAATACGAAGGTGTGTGTAGATGTCTTTTTCTTTTCGTGCATATATAATGATGCGGTCGATTTTCATTTCTTTGCGGTTTCATACGTTCGAAAAGAATAGAAGAAGCGAGAACGAGAGAGAGAGAGAGAGGGAGAGAGAATTGTTCAGTACGTTTGAATGATTGCGGTCATTTCATATATATAGAATGCCAAAATACATATAAAAAAGGTGGAGAGAGAGACACAGAGAGAGAGGGAAAGAGAAGAAAAAAAAGAACAGACTTGTTAAATTCATTTTTTTTTAGAATATTAATTTTCAGTATTCTCTGTCAGATGATTATAGTCAGACGTTCATTCACAATATTTAGAGTGTAGAGTATACAAACGATATTTGACAGTCTCGTCAGTACTTGAGCCAATCATAATTCTTTTTTGTCTTCTTCAAGGTTTATTTTTCTTTTTTTGTTCTTCTCTTTTCTCCCGGCAGGTTTGACCGTACGAACAAACGATGAACGAAAGCATTTTTCGTTCTATGCAAAGGTCGACAGACACATTCACATGAATCGACCTAGGCCATCGTCCATTTCTATTCATTTTTAAAAAACGAAATTTTCTTCTTCTTCTTATTCTAGATGTGCAATGATTCAGTCAGATCATCACCATCGATTCTTATTGATTCATTGTCTATTTATATTTCTATTAATTAATCTAACTTCAGCACAAATATGTCAAAATGATATACCTGATTTTTTCTATAATGTCAGTTTTACTGGACCCATTTTTGATCAATCTGTTTATACAATAACAGTACAAAATTTCTCTGTATTATCTCCAAATGATACAACTGTATTTAATTTTAATGTACGACCAGCAACAATCTATAGTCGACCAAGTTTTGTTTCAACATCAGTGACTGGTCGAGCACTTAATTTAACATCAGGAATTATAACTGTAGTATCAACCGATCCAAGTTTTGCTGTTACTACATTATCAAATGGTTCCTATGCCCTTGTTACAAATACTTTGTAAGTCATTAAAAAATGTTTAAATGAGAAAATAATTTGTCATTTTTCTATTCATTTAGTCCATTAAATTACTTTTCACCTTATAATCGTTATTTATTTAATCTGATCGCAACTCAGACATATTCAAATCGACCAGAAGTTAGTTCAACAGCTATTGTTGAAATTAATTTAGAAAATTATAATGTACATGCACCAATATTCGTGCCAGCAAATCAAACATTTTATATCAGTGAAACTGCAGTAATCGGTTCAATATTTGGTACTGTCTATGCAACTGATGCTGATAATGATGGAATTATCTATTCTATGGTTAGTAGTCAATTTTCAATTGATTCATCAACTGGAGTTTTAACATTACAACAATCATTTCAAACATCAGCAGCATCACAATATTTTGTTACAGTTACCGCAAGTGATGATGGTTCATCATGTTTACCAACACGTCCACTTTGTCCAAGATTTTCTACATCAACAACAATTACAATAAATGTAACTGCTGTTAATAAACGATCACCACAATTTCTCAATTCAATATGTGGTTCAACACTTACATTTTATGAAAGTAATGTAATTGGAGCAAATATTACAACAATAACGGTATTTGATGATGATAGAGGAGATAATGGACAAGTTACAATATCATTTCCATCTGAACAAGCACAAACAACAGGTAAGATTTTTGTGATTTGTTAAAAAAGTTCATTATTATGATTTTGTTTTTTTTCAAGTAAGCGGTTTAAGAAATACCGCCTATTCACAATTTTATATTCAACAATTACCACAAACGAATACAACTCGTACAGCTTTATTACGAACAAATATATCATTTGATTATGATGCACCTGGTAAGACAATCGAAATTTTATATTAAATAATCATCTAAAGAGAATCACTAATTTTGTTTTATTTCGATTTTAAATCTCAGTTAGATTAAGAAACCTTAGAAATGTTTATGCTTATGACATGCTAATAATGAGTTATGGCTTGTTTATTAGGTTTCTTATTCAGATTATAATATTGTTGAATAAACAGTTTTCCTCTAATTATATTTTATAAAAGTATGAAACACAGTGACTTTTGAAAGTCTTACTGAAATCTCATTATCTGGCTACACAACGATCCCAATGGGTTTATCTTAATTTCATTTGAACTCATACGGATCCGAAGTTTTAGGATGTATTACTTCTTTATTCCTAGAAGTTTTATCAAATTCAATAACTTATAAATATCGTTTAGTCTATGAATTTGTTAATATTTATTGTTTAAAATATAATTTTAGGTTGTCCTCGAGTTTGGTATTTATTCATATTAGCTACTGATCATGGTACACCACCACGACAGTGTATGTATTAAATATTAAATATGATTTTTTTTGATTATTTTTTTGAATATTTATAGCGTTCTGCAGTTTACGTATTAATTTACTTGACTTAAACGATAATCCGCCAGGTAAAATAAAGACAATTATTGTTCTTTTTTGTCTAAAAGGAAATTTTTTCTCTAGTATTTGTAATGACAAATTGGAATTATACAATATATCGTTCAACTGTTGGAAATTCTAATAATAGTGCACGTTTCTTACGTATAATTGCATCTGATGCTGATTCAGGTTTAAATGGTCAAATAAATTATTATATTGGAACGATTAGTGTACCATATTTTACAATAAATCAAACGACGGGTACAATTATTCTTCGTAGTGATGTTCCTGGAATATATAATTTAAGTGTTAGTCAATTTCCAATAACATTCCAAGTTTATGCACAAGATCGTGGTACACCTCCACGAATTAGTGAAGCAAATGCAACGGTAACAATTTATTATAATAATGGTAATGATCCTCCACCAGCTCGTTGGCTTGATCCAGCTTATGAAGAATTAAATTTTCCAATCATAGAAAAATATTATGAAACTTATGGTAATCAACCGATATTTAATACGAGTTATGGTTTTAATGGAACTATAAGTTATTTATTAACATCATTAACATCATCAATTATGACTGTTAGTAGTCCATTTCCAAATACATACATACCATTTAGTGATGTAGCAGTATCAAGAAATGGATATACATTTAATAGTGGAATTGTTGTTACGAGGTATGAATGAAGATTTATTTTTTAATCATGGTGTATATGCATGAGTCTTAATAATTTGTTCAAATGATGATAGAAAGATAATTTAATGTGATAAGCAATACTAATATATGAGATTATGGTTTAGATAAAGTATCTGAAACTTTAAATTCTGAATACAAGTGAGAGAATACGATGTATTGGTTGGAATAGATGCAAAAAGTTGAGAACTGAGATTTGAGCGTATGAATATCATTGCAGGGTAAGTAATGTGAATTATGGTAATGGTGTGAAATTTTAATATGCATAATTTATCATGAACGATATCTACGTAACGATTATGCGATACTATTCAAATATGAACATTGTAATAGAGAATTTTCAAAGTACAACTCATTCATTGCACAAATATAACCAATAGTATTTATTTATCTAAAGAATAACGTTGACTATCATAATCAGAGAGATGTAAGAAATACTAAATCCGAGTTGTACTACTATATCAATCAACTTAATTAATACAGTATTTAGTAATTCGAAATATTTTTTTCTTCTTCTAGTGGTTTACATGCTGAAATTCAAAATTTATATTTAATATATATTCGTGTTCTTGTAACTCCACCATTAATTGGTTCGACCACAATAAGGATAATTGATCAAAATGATCAAATTCCAACATTTGATATTCGTTCTATAGTATTGAGTGTTGTTGAAAATGAAAGTGGAACACGTATTATTGCACAAATTCAAGCATTTGATCGTGATGTTGATTTTCCATATAATTATGTTCAATATCGTTTAAATGAAGTTTTAACTGATTCCGAAGCTATTGGAAATTTTTTTGTTGCTTCCAATGGTTCACTATGGACAAATGCAACATTTGATCGTGAAAGTAATAAAACACTTTATCGAATATTTGTAACAGCTTATGATGGTGCACCAGCATGGAATTCTGTTAATCCAAATACACAAGATTTTCAATTTGATATTCAAGTTATTGATGTTAATGATGTACCACCAGGTAAAAATATGAAATATATATATATTTAAAAGATTTCTTATTCTTTGTTTTATAATTTAGTTTTTGTTAATTCATCATCAATAACAATACAAATAAATGAAACAACTGCAAATGGTACTGGAATACTTAATTTAACGATAACTGATACTGATTTTGATACAATAATTGATTTTGGAATTTTAAGTGGAAATCTAAGAAATGTTTTTGAATTTAATTTACTATCAAATAATTTAGCTGATTCAACACGTACACAATATCAAGCAATTGGACAATTATCTGTTGTTGGTCCATTAAGTTATGAAAGAACACCAAATTATACATTAGTTTTATCAGCATTTGATACACTAAATCTGGCAACAGTAACAGTTACAGTTTTATTGATACCACAAAATACAAAAGCACCTTATTTTAATTTAATGCCCGGTTTTGCTTCTTATCAATATTCTGTTACTGAAGGAACTGCAGTTCCAATACTCGATGGACCTGTTGTAAGTAGATCATTCATGAAATTCAAATTATTATCAGTTGTTTCGTTTGTATAAGATATCACGATATGTAATGAGGATTTATTGATTAAGTGAAAGAAGAATAGGGTCATTGTGAATAAATTCAATAAGCTTCAGATTAATTTAAATGCAAGGTCATCCTTTTAAATGTAATATTGAAATGCTAGCTACGAATAAATATATGACCTTACTGGGATTTCGTTTAATCTGATAAGCTGCCATTTGAAATACTGTAGCGATTAATAGTTTGAGAAGCTATTGTCTTGAAATGTAAGAGTGATTTACAGGCTGTCGGAATAAAAACAAAGAATTCGAATTTATACTAAATTTTGATCAAGTTCTGTTCTTTCAATTAGTCTTAACTCTAAGTAAAGAATTTACTTATATCAACATTTAGAGTAAATTTTGTGATTTGTCAATGCAGTTCTAAGTATATATGAGCGTTATCAAACATACATATTATATACAATAGCTATGAGTCTAAATTAGTATATACTAGCAACTCAATGCTTTGATCTAATTTCAGTATAATTCCAACTCTTTCTAAAGTTGTACTGCTCGATAGTTATGTTAGCAGTAGGGCTGAAAATTTCGAATTTAGTAGATATTAATCGAATGGACTCTAGTCAATTCATTGCTGGAAATAACAATGATTCTCCTCTTCAGAACAGTGTCTTGTTTTCTTGATTACTATGTTGGATAAAGCAATGATTGCTGATCAGGCTTCACTATATCTTATATTTTTTATTTATATATTTGATTAAAATGTATAGATTGATCGAAAGTCAGAAACTCTAATCCTCATTCGATAATATCATTATATCCCTATTAAACTAAACATATATGTCTCTTAAAAATATAAATCTTTTCTATTTAGATTCGTGCAACAGATCCTGATATTCCACCGACAGCACTTGTCTATTCTATAGTTACTTATAGTAATCAACAAAATTTAAATCCTTTATATTTAAATCAAGCTAATAATGCGACAACAATTGGTATCGCATTACCAGGTCTTTCTCGTGATTTACCATTTGGCGCTCCTATATACAATTTCTCTATACGTGTTACTGATCAAGCTGGATTAGGTGTTTCAAGTTATGTACCAGTTAGTATCACAGTTATTGATACAAATAATAATGCACCTATACCAACGGTAAGATTTCATAACAAAAAAAACAAATTCTTTCTCTATTTTAATAATAAATTTTTCTTATTTAGAATCCACCATGGATTTTAACCGAAGGTGTATTAAATCCAAGTACAACAGTTATATTTACTGACTATGATGACCCAGCACAAAATAATACAGTACCTTATCAAGTTCAAATTGTTAGTCCATCATCGTTTTCACTTTCTGGTCCAACTTTAAATTATAATGGATCATATACATTGATCTATAATGGTATTTTAAATCGTACTCTAGCAAGAAATTTAACTGTTACATTTAATGCAAGTGATAATAAAGGTTTTTCAGCTATAACAACAATTCCGGTTGTTGTTGGTGATGTTTTAAATGCTTATCCAATATCCGATGGTTATAAAACAATTAATATTGTCTATGTTAATGGTTACATAAATTCATTACGAAATGTTCAACTTGGTTCAGTTTATGTTATGGATTTAGATGATTGGTTTCGTGCTTCAAGAACATATTCTGTAAGAGATGTTAGCAATGGACAAACATTTAGTGCTTCACAAGGTTATTTAAGTACATCGGATTTACTCTACCCGGGATCTATTACAGTACATGTGACTGTTACAAAACCAAATGTACCATCAACAGCTTTAGGTACAATGGATCTTACAATTACAAGTGTAGATAGCGAACTTGTTCGACAAGCAGCAACAATTCGTATTCAAGGTATTTAAAGTTTTTCATATAACTTAAGCAATCTAGTATAGAGAAATAGGATTGACTATGCAAAAATGCGAATATTTTATAGTAAGAACTATAAGTCCATCTTTATTTATGATAGAGACGATATCTTTGATAGTCATTAATTTTCTCTTTTCAAATATACTAAAATCATTGAATTTAACGTTAATTATTGTTTGATGATATGCGCTATCAAACATAGTCTTTCACATGTCAAAATTTTATTTAATAAATGAAAAATTATTATTAGAAATTATACAATCATGTATAATTAAAAAATTTTTTATCAATATTAGATTTTTATAAGTACAATCTATTTGACTATTGGAGATATATTAAATATCATTCAATTTTTGGATTATATAAAACTATATTTTTTTATTTATATTAAAGGTGAATATCCTGAAACATTAATTGATCCATCACTTGGTAATCGTCTTGGTACTCTTCGTAATGCATTAGCATCAATTTTACTTGTTACTGTTGATTCAGTAAAAATTCTAGCTATTCGTTCTGTTTATCAATATCGAAGTCCGTATTACCCACCATTACCATTCGATCAAGCTAAAGCACAAGCATTAACTGATGTTATGTTCTATGTTTCATCATTAAATAGATATGATATTGAAAATACATTAAATAATAATCTTGCTAAATTTTCATCAAGTTATGGTATAACAGCAAATGCAAGTGGACCGAATCCATGTACTAACTATGTTTGTCCATTAGGTAAATCATAAAGATTTTTTTTTGGAAGGATATTTATTTATATATTATTTTTATTATTTAGGTACAACTTGTCGTCCAACACGAACAATCCAACCATTACCTTATGCAGTTGATACAAATCAAACATCATTTGTTGGAATAAATGTTGTTGATTCTGCTGATTGTGTTAATGCAACTTATGCAACTGGTTTTACAAATACACAAATTGGATGTACAACATATTCATTTAATAATTTAACATATTGTCCATGTACATCATTACAAGCTTATGCACCACTTGGACCTTATTGTCAAGTTCTTGGAAGAACATTTAATAATAATGGTGGTAGTTATGCTGTCTATGATGGAAGTAGTTTTTCAAATGAAGCACCAACACGATTTTCATTTGATTTTGCTTCACGATCACCATTAACTGATGGATTAATTCTTTTATATGGACGTAATACAACACCTGTCAATGATTTTGCTTGGACATCCATTGAAATATATCAATCAAAATTAAGATTTCGTTTTCGAGATACAATACTTGATGCAGCAAGTACAACTCTTAATGCTTCAACATGGTATCATGTTGAATATCAAGTATGTATCACTTTCTCTTAGTGAACAAAATAAAAAGATTTCTAAAACTAGAAAGAAATAGTTTGTTTTTTTTTTGTCTCAGAAAATTTACATATTCTTCATCGACATTGTTGTTTTATTATGATGACATTTTGTTCGTTCTTAAGTTACAGGAAATACTTGAATTTGTAATTGAAGGATTGACTTGAGTTCTGATATATAGTATTTCTTAGAATATGAATTAATATATAGTTAATGACATTTAATAATAGAAGAAAACTTTTAATAGTAGAAAATTATATTTATTTCATTCTTTTTTTTTCTTCAGTATGTTGATTCATTAATTCTTGTCGAAGTAAATGATTGTCAATATGTAACAAAAATAAATAATACATTAAATACATATGATTTATCTAATGTTCAATTATATCTTGGTGGTTTACCAGTTACAGGTTCATTAGTATCTGCTCTTTATCCAGTATTACAACAAGTTAATACATTTAGTGGTTGTATAAGAAATGTTTTATCAAATGGTTATTATCTTGATATGAATTCAGCATTAGCATCAGCTAATTCTGATATTGGACAATGTCCATGTGCATTAACAAATTCATGTACGACAACAACATTAGCACGTGCATCAGATATAATTATACCTTGGTATACATGGTTAATAATTGCATTAGTTTTATTATTATTAGCAACAATTATTGCATTAGGTTTATTAACATGTATAAGAAGAAGACAACAACAAAAGACATTAGCTGGTTTATATCCAGATGATACAAGAGATAATATTATTGATTATAAGTAAGTAAAATAAGATTTGAATATTAAAATTATTGTGAAATATTTTCTAGAGAAACTGCTGGCGAAGAAGATCATTCAACTTATAATCTTGGTGTATTAAAAAAACCTGTTTATGCATTATCAGATGAAGAGATCTTAGCAAATGGTGCTCGAAGTGGTATGCATAATATAGGTAAATATATATATTCTTAAGAAACAGTGAAAGTTAATTTATTTGATTCGTTTAGGTTATACTGAAACTACAATAACTCGTCGACCAGGATTAGGAGAATATATTGATGAAAAATTAACTGAACAACAAATAGCATCATATGCAAATGATACACAATTACATTATCGATATGAAGGTGAAGGTTCTATAGCATCAGATTTAAGTTCAATAGAATCGATTCATTATCAAGATGAACATGATTTTCGATTTCTTTATTCATGGGGACCAAAATTTTCAAGATTAGCTGATTTATATGCTGGTGGTTTAGATGATGATAATAATAATATTGACAATGCTTAATACAAATAATAAAAAAATAATCTATTTATTCATTCTTTCTTACTTTCTTTCTTTTTTTGTGGGATTGTTTAGAAATATTTTTGTTGCTCAATTCTTTATGTAGATTAGACATTTAAGAAAACAAATCTTTTTCTTTCCTCTTATTTACATGTATCGGAAAAGAAGAAAATCAAAATATAAATGTGTTTTTTTTTCTCTGTATATAAATTTCATAAGTTCTTTTTTTTCTTATCTTATCAGGAATAATCGTGCTTTTCTTTTTCATATGTATGTGTGTATTCTCAATTGTTTGGTTTCGTTCATTCTTTCTATATTTTTTACAACTGTGTATTTTGGTTGCATGAAAGAACAAAAAATAATAAAATGCAGCTTAATATAGTTATTTGATTTTTAATGAAATATAAGAAAATATCTTTATATTCTATCTAGAGTAATAAATATTTATGTAATTATAGACAAGCAATAGATATATTTACATATAAGATAAACGAGAAGATCAATTAATAGTTTTTATTTTTGTATCGTTCAGATTTAGTTTCTAAAAATAGAAACTCTCATAAACTTTCATAAGGAATTTATATACTATATGAATTATAACTTGATTTCTGTCAATATTGACAATTAATTGATGAAGATAGATTATATCTAAGGAAAATATTTCATATTCTTCATTCTAAATTTATAGTTTATGATTTTATGAATCTATAAATATCTTGATAATAAAACAGATCTTATTTACACACATTTTTTTTTGAATAACACTGTATACGTTTGTTTATAGGAAATTAGTTTCAACATCTGTTAAATAACCAACTAGCAAGGTCAAGTAGTCAAAAGAAATGTACTTAACTATCATAAATAACAATAGAATTGATCTTATCATAAAATAATTGACTGAGTATTTTATAGATAGTTATGTATTGTATAATTAGAAAGAGAATCAAAATAAAACATCTGTATAACAAAAAAAAAAGAAGGAATCTTTTTCTCCTCTATGTTTTTCTATAAGTATTATGTGACTTTTTTCTCTTTTCTTTTTCTCTGTCTCTCTCATATAATCTGCTTCAACATGTCTTCTGACGAACGTTGATGATCCATAGAAATTAGTTTACTTTAAATACATATGGATATCTTTATTCTAATTATTACTACTATCTTATGCTTATTACTTTCACAAACAAACTCAAAAACAAGTAAGTGTAAACAAAACTTGATTTCCATTAATGCAGTCATGTAAAACTAATCCTTATATCTCTATTAATCCATCAATCATTTGTTTTTGTCTATGGTTTCGAATAGCTTTAAAAACGTTCTCTGGGCGATATATTTTTCCTGTTATTTCACCTATTGTAAGATAGTACAACGTAGTGATATTATCTCTCAAGGTAAATAATAATTTTTTCATATTAAAGAATCTATTAGATATGTCATTTGAAAACAAAAACAAAGAAATATTATGGTTTAGTATAGTAATTCTTAAAAATAAAACTCTTAGAGGCCATACATAAAGGACGGTGAGATCAGTCGAAAGCGGGCATTTTCGGATAGGGGAGGTGGAGCGTCAGAAAGATCTAATGATTCATACGCAATGACGATTGTTTTTTGAGCACTTTATGCGAAATTTTTAAGCAAAATTGGTTTTTGAAGAGTTTCGTTCGTTGAGAATAAACTAGAGCTGAAAACGGGAACGAATCGCCTTGTCAAAATTTGTCGGTACCAGAATGTTTAAGTCATCAAATCTACATATGGACAATATGTCAGTTGGCTGACCGACAAAAAAACAGTAGTGTTGAAAAAACAGACTTTTTCGAAAATGTTTTGAAAACTGGACGTCCCGAGGAAAGGGAGGAATTCAGAAATGCGAGTTTTACCTGGAAATCCTTTATAGATGACTTCGTAGAATATATTGAAAACCTTTCAACTATTGTCAACCATCATAATCTATTTACAGAAGTTTAGCATATTTTATTAAAAAAATAACTCTGCATTTTTTATTATTAACTTAAGTCATGAATTCTTATTTCAAACTTCGTATTGAGTTTATTCTCCTATCACTAGAAATATGTAGAATAATCTATTTTTCAAAATAGAACATCAATACAATAGAGTTATTTATTGATCACTGGGCAATTTGCCTTAACGCTATTAATGTCTAGAAAGAAGAAAAACGATAATTGTATATGTCAATATGTGTCATTCGTCGTCAACATCATTTAATCTTTCCGTACTATCATAAATATTAAGAATATATCGATAGCATCAATCAGAAGGTCATTGTGAAATATAAACTGAATTTAATCACATAGAAAATTCTTCTGTAATTTCAATTAAAAAAAATATATTTAATAAGTATATAATTATTTCCTTTATTTTTTTTCAAACGCTGAACCATAATTTAAATAGTGTTTATCAATAGAAATATAATGTCAATAAGAGGACCTTGTAAATGTTTTGACAATATAAATAAATAGCTATTATAAATATTTCGAGGTCGATGTTATGTTTATCCTATATTGAATAAGTGCCTAGAAATGATGTCAGATACAAAAGAATAAGAACATAATCTTTTTTGTGTCTTTTAATCTATTTATTTAATAGAACTGTATCAAATTTCAAGGATAATATACATCTTATTTACTATTAACATATGTTAGAAATTTTTATAAATAGCAAAACTTTGCTTTTTTTTTTGGTTTTAGGTAGAATTGAACAGAAACAACTAACTTATGAAATTGTTATTCCTCAACGATTTTATTCTCGAAAATCTATTTTACAAAAACGTTCATCAAATAAATATTTATTTTATCGTATTTATGCATTTAATCAAACATTTGAGTTATCATTAATACAAAATGAAATATTTCTATCTCCATCATTTATTACACAATATTTTAATGATAATCAAACACGGATAAATCGTAATATTCAACAATGTTTTTATCAAGGTTATATTAATAATAATCATCTATCAATAGTATCAATTAATTTATGTAATGGATTAGTAAGTATTATAAAATTAAGCCTTTCCGACTGCCTATTCAAAAAAAAAATCCCGTACTCCCCCACGGCAAAATATTGCCATTTGGCCGGAAAGGATTAGATCTCATATGATAAATATTTTGAATAATTTTTTCTACAGTTTGGAACATTTATTTATAATAATACGGAATATTTTATCGAACCAAAATATCAAACAAATAATACAATATGGAATTTTGAACATATGATTTATACTTCTAATAAGTTATTATTATCAACGAATCATTGTCCTGTTGATGGTAATTCATTAATTATTTTTCTAATCCATTTTCTAAATACTTATACTTATTAGGTAAGCTGGATTTTGAAAAAAAAGATGATACCCATCATCATGTACAACTTTCTTATACTCGAAAAAGACGTAAATTAAGTTTTGATAGAACGGCAAAACATGTTGAAATACTTATTGCTTATGATGATTCAATAAAAGAATTTCATTCCGATATTGATATTAGATCATATATACTTACATTATTTAGTTATGTATGTTTTAAAATAATTAAAAAATTTTTTGGATATTGAAATCTGATTTATTTTCAGGTATCACATTTATATTCAGATGCAAGTATTGGAAATAATATTAAAATTTGGTTAGTTAAATTAGTCGAATTAGGAAAAGATTTAAGTGTAAAAACCACAAAAAATAATTGTTTTTTTTATATAAATATTTTTTTATTAGAATGAAATAAAATTAACTGATAATGCAGCTGATTTATTAAGTAAATTTTGTAAATGGCAAAGAAATTATAATGTACCAGGTACATACGATGCAGCTGTTCTTCTTACTAGGTAGAATAAAATTAAAATAAAAAACAATAACTTGAATTATTCATTTTATTATAGAATACCATTGTGTAATATACACTCAAAAAATACAACTGATAGTAAATGTGATACATTAGGTATAACAGAATTAGGTACAATGTGTAATCTAACATCAAATTGTGCTATTGTACGTGATAATGGATTTGCAACAGCATTTACAATTGCACATGAAATAGCTCATTTGTAAGAGAAATAATTCATATATATATATTATTCTTAATAAATATTGTATTTTAAATAGATTTGGTATTCGTCATGATAATGATAAAGCTTGTTTAAATTTTAATAAAGAACAAAATCTTATGGCAACTTCACTTACATTTGATCATAATCATTATAAATGGTCAAATTGTAGTAGATTTTATTTTACTCAATATCTTGAGTAAGTTAATTCATATTATTTGATATGTAAGGGTGTGAGTGGGTGTGAGACAAGAGGAGACACCCACATCCACCCACATTCATCCTCATCCACACCCATCCTCACCCTCACCCACACCCACCCTTACCCACACCCAAACTAAACCCTTTATAACTTATTGTAACAGTGTGTATAGTAACTAAATAATTTTAATTTTAAGGTCTGATCGATATCCATGTTTGAATAATATACCAGATTATAAATCATCATTATTTGAAGGTTTAAATGATGAACAAAATGCTCGTGAATTCCCTGGTCATTTTAATGATCTTGATGAACAATGTCGTCGAGCATTTGGCATTCAATTTGAATACTGTAAAGATATGAGTCATGGTGTATGTAAATGAATTTCTTCTTTCAAAAAAAATCTATTGTTTTTTTTTCATAGCCAAAATGTGCTCGACTTTATTGTCGAGAAATATTATCACATTCATTATCATCATGTATAACTAATCATGCTCACTGGTCTGATGGTACTGGATGTTCAGAAACAAAAAACGACATTAAAGTAAAATATAAATATATACGTAAGTGATTTAATATTATATAAATATTTTTCTTAGCGTTGTTTTCATGGTCTTTGTCGAAGTACACATGATTTAAAAGCAATACATGGTAATTGGGGTGAATGGTCATCTTGGTCAACTTGTACAAGAACTTGTGGAAGTGCAGTACAAAAATCACAACGATTTTGTGATAATCCGAAGTAAATCTTTCAAGATTTGAATCATAAGAAATGATTTATTTTCTAGACCAGAAAATGGTGGCCAGTATTGTTCTGGTCAATCAACTCGAATACAATCATGTGAAAATAATCCAGTAAATTATATTTTTATTTATAATTCAATATTTTACAACTATTTTCATCTAGCCTTGTGAAGATTCTATTGATATGTTTCGTCAACGGCAATGTTCTGTTTATAATAATCATACTATTGATCCATCATTACCTATTGGAGTACGATTTGAACCAAAATATAATGGTAAATATTATAAATTTGTGAATTCTAAGATTAATTTTCATTTAGTTCTACCAAATGAACGGTGTAAATTAATCTGTAAAGTATCTGATGATCGTCTTGAACGATCTTTTATCTTTAGCGATCGTGTTGAAGATGGTACATTATGTGGACGTGAAGATGAATCTCGTGATATTTGTATAAATGGTATTTGTATGCCAATTGGTTGTGATTATAAATATGGATCTAATGCAACAGAAGATGTTTGTGGTGTATGTAATGGTCAAAATCGTACATGTAAATTAATTCATGATGAAAAAACTATTTCCGATATTGGTCTGTAAATTAAATCCTATTTATTTCTTCTTTTCTCATTTGATTATTCTTATAGGAATAATACATTTAGTTGATATTCCAGTTAATACAACACGCCTTAGTGTTACACAAATTTCTTCAAATATAGATCGTTATTATTTAGCAGTTAGATATACTAATGGAACTTATATTCTTAATGGTTTATATAGTTTACAATTATATAATATTCAAATTCGTATTAGTAGTGCAAAACTTGTTTATAGTGGATTTGATTCTATTAATGAAAGTATTCTAATAACGGGTCGCATTAAAGACTCAATTGAAGTTCAACTTATATCAATTTATGAATCAGATCCACCATTAACAAAAGTTTATTGGGAATATTATACTCCATTTGATGAAAATGATTTTGTTCGACAATATGAATATCAAACAAGAGATTATCATTGTGATCGACCATGTCAAGGTTTTAAACAAGTTAAAAAATGTTTTATACATGATACAGAATATGATTTAAATTATTGTTTCATTTTTAAATTATCATTTAAATATAAAATCGAACGATGTAATGATGATTGTGTATTAAGTTGGACAGCAAAATATCAACAAACTTGTTCAACACGTTGCGGCAGTGGTTTTAAACGTGTTTTATATGAATGTACAAAGAATAATTCTACGATGGAAATTATCGATGAGGAAATTTGTAGGAAACATGTTAGTGAAAAACCAAATGATATTGTACCATGTGTGGGTGATTGTAATGAAATAGGATGGGTTTATGGAGATTGGGATAAAGTAGATATTACTTATGTAATTTCTAGAAGTTATTTTTAAAATTTTATAGTGTTATTATGATGGAAATTGTATACGTAAACGTTTAGTTGCATGTCGGAATGCAGCAGATATAACATTACCAAATGATTATTGTAATATGGAATTTATATCAAACATTGAACGATGTCCTGAACCAGACTGCCAACAATCTCAATCGAATTTAACTACATGGTCTGATGTATGTTTTATTTTAACTGATAATCTTCTAGTACTTTGAAATAGACAATAGAGATAAATATGATACTTATGATTATGAAAGAATAGATCTCAATCAGACTTATGTAGATTAATTTTAATAGAAACTTATTGTTATTTTCTTCAGTGTGATTGCATTGCAAAACGTCGCCGACAAGATATTTCATGTTTTCGTCATGGTAAACAAATAAATAATCATGATTGTATATATGAAATGAAACCAGATGAAATAGTTTCATGTCTTAGTGAATGTTTCAAACCATATTGGTTAACATATTCATGGCAATCAGTAAATATTAATTTTATTTCTATTAATTTATTTTATTTGTTTAATATTAGTGTATAGCAAAATCATGTTCATCATCGATAGGTATTCGTCATCGTCGAGTTGTATGTTTTGATAAAAATTCTATTGTACAAGATGATTTATGTGATGAACAATTAAAACCTATTGAAGAAGAATTGTGTACAACAAATATCAGTTGTTTAACATGGTTTATTGGTGAATGGTCAACTGTAAATATAACTTCATATGAGAAATTATATCAGTCTTAGAATTTTTAGTGTTCAGTGACATGTGGTCAAGGTATTCAACAACGTAAAGTTTATTGTAATGATCCATTACGTTCAACATCGATTATATCCGATAATAAATGTCAAAGTATACTAGGTAAAAATAGTAAACCAATTGAACAACAATATTGTTCAATTACAAAATGTCCTTATTGGGAAATGAGTTTATGGAGTAATTGTTCCGGTAAATGTGGTTTAGCAAAACGTGATCGACGTATATGGTGTGTACATAATGGATATAAAGTTGATGAGAATTATTGCTTACGAATGTATAATGAAACACCTTCAACAAGAGAAATATGTAATGAAAAATTTTATTGTCCAAATTGGATAGTTGGATTATGGTCTGAAGTAAGTTTTGTGATTTTCTTGATTATGTAGTATTAATACTATAAATTAGTGTTCGGTAACATGTGATATTGGAATACAAAATCGTTCAGTTTTATGTAAAAATAAAGATGAAATAGTTAAGAGAGAAGAATGTGATGATCTTAATAAACCAATATCAATAAGACAATGTAGTATGATTCCATGTCAACCTATAATACCAACTTGGATGACAAGTGATTGGGCTCCGGTAAAATTTCGATAAAATCAAAAGTTATTTTATAAAAATCTTCATTTTTCAATAGTGTGATCTTCGAACATGTCTACAAAGACGAACAATTCATTGCATTGATTTAATATATAGACGAAATCTTTCATTATTTCAATGTAAACAAAATCAAATTCAACCATCATTGAGACGAACTTGTCCGATATCAACTTGTTTAGAATGGCAAGTTGGACGATGGCTTGGTGTAAGATTAAACATATGCAAATTGAATTTCAACTATAATATTTATTTTAGTGTCCTGTCAAATGTGGTTTTGGTATTGAATATGGTTTTAATTTTCATTGTTATACTCGTCGACTACCGATTCGACGATTGAATAGTAAACAATGTGAATTAGTTGAACCTCCATTACGTAAGCCAATATTAAGGCGAATTTGTCGAAAAAATTGTCTTGATTGGAGAACGAACGGGTTGACTAAGGTAAAGATCGAAAAGGAAAATAAAATGAGGATCATGTTTACATAAGCTTCATTTATGATCCGTTGAACTTTTGTAATATTTTTATTTAGATAATATCAAAAAATAATTCATCGAGAAAATTATTTTCATTATTAATAATTCTTATTTCATTACTATTTGTTCTATAAATGCATAATCAGATTTTATTCTCATTGTCAGATCTTATTCGATAATCGTAAGTAAATATTTATTCAATTTATATATCTACAAATTTTATTATTATTAATCTAGATACAATATATTATGTGTGCAATAAATTACATTGATTTTTTATTTTGTACATATGTATAGAAAGAGAGAGGGAGAGAATATTTATATTTGTTCTGGTTGTAATGAATTAATTGTGATTGATGGTGATGTTGTTGTAAATTGTGTTAAATAATTAAATAAAATACGAAATTCATCTATTGATAATTTTCCATCACCATTTGAATCAGCTATTTTAATCATATCTTTAACTTGTTTATCAGTTAATGTTTCACCAAGTTCTTTCATTGTTTTTTTAATTTCTTTTGCACTGATAAAACCATCTGAATTTTTATCAAATGCACGAAATGTTTCTTGAAAATAGGCATCCGGGGAATAATGACCAAAATCATGTATAATACGACAGAATTCATCAAATGAAATATTGTTACGAAATTGAAATAAATCTCTTAATTTTTTTTCCTCAATTGGCATATGTAATTTTTGACATGCCGATCGAAGCTAAAATTAAAATGAAATTAAAATTTTTTCGAAATAAAATTTTAATCATACTTCATTCATACTAATCGATCCATCTTTGTTTTTATCAAACAATTGAAATGTATCAAGTAATTGAGTTAGATTAATCTGTTGACCAGACATTATTTTTTTTATATCTGTAAGAATGAATCTTCTTCAGTCAAATTTTTATTCTTCGAAAATAAAATAGTCAAATTGAAAGAATAGCTACTGTTTATATAGGTTGCTAACATATAATTTCCTAGTAGACGTCATCAGTATTGGTTAGGTTGTATAATTTTTTTTTTTCTTCATTCCTACTTTACCTATGTGCGTCAGTAGCTAATAATGAATCGTTCTGTATAATGCGAGTTGAAGTAAAGGAAAGAAGTAGAACTGAATTATTGACAAAAAAAAAAGATTTTTTTTTTTAGTATGAAGTACCTCTTGTACAGAGTTAAGTAACCAACGTGATACATCATTTCAGGCATGTGTGCGTCATTGTTAATGACATCTCCGAGGGATTTTTTTTTTCTTCTTTTTTCGATAACGCAAAAGATGAGAGTATTTTATGTAGGAAGAAGCCGATCAAGATTTGTATTTTATTGATTTATTGAATCAATTGCGTATATAAATTTCAAAATCAAAGACGTAATTTCAATATTATTTCAAAACTTTTATACTAATTCATCATGCCAAAATAACATGAAATGTCCTTGTCATACAAAATAAAATTAAACAAATATTTTCAAAGAACAATTAGTTACATTTTCGATCACTGTCACAATGAATATTTATTTTATAAAATCTTTTAACTAAATATATCGATACGTAAAGATTCTTAAGTGATATACTTGTTGGTATATATATATATATAAAGTTGATAGCTTATGTTGACAGATGCTATTTAAAGAAAAAAGAAAAAAATATTTTTCGATAAACAACTTAATGCATTTCTTTTTTAAACTAAACTATCGAATGTATTCATATAACGAGTGGCTTATTGTATGAAATTTTTAAAATAACTCAAAATCATCGAATATAAAATTCGAGAGTATATACATTAGAAATATGATTGAGTAAAGTTCATTGGTTTTAGACTTAGAGTACAGTTTTGAAAACGCAATGATATATCAAGTAATAAGCGTCGAATTAAACTTCTAGAAATGCTCTCTGTATAAAAAACTATGCTCATCTAGAACTACGAAAGCAGAAACGCAATCTGCTAGATTTGTTATTTTTTATTAATAAGTTGCATACAATCTACAATAAGTATATAGATGTTGGGGTGGGTGTGGGTTTGGGTATGAATGTCTATATCCTCTTGACCTATACCCACACCTTTGTTTATCTTCATCTGAATTCTGTCCAAAAAAAAATACTAGTCTATATTGAAATTCTAGTTTTGTCTGGTCATATTTTAAATTTGACCCCCAATACATATAAATCAGTCACTAAAAAAGAACGAATATACTATTCTAGATATGCAGTTTACTGGTTGTATCAATGAATATCGACATCTATCACATTTATGTGTGAATGGAACTATGATATAATCAATTATATATTTTAAATTTCGAAGTAGATAAAAAATTTCAATCATTATATTTTTCAAAAAAAGAGATATTCTTTGATTTAGTTATGACAAACACTATAGATGATATACATTTGGATCTTACACTTAATTATTGTCAACAAATAACCAAACAGTTACTTGAACTTGCTCATAAATTTGCTAGAAAATCACGACGACCATCAACACAACTAACATGTATAGATTTAATTAATGCTTTTGAATGTATGAATATATTATATAAGAAAAATACAATTAACGACAATGAACAGTTTGTAAAAAATTCTTTTGATCAAATGTTTGAAATTACTTATAAATAAAATTAAATAATCTATATCATTTTTTTTTATGTTTGTATTTTTTTAGTTATAAGATTAGAAACTGGCTAAGAATATCAAACGAGAGTATTAGGATTACAGCGGCTATTTGAGAAACTACAAAGAGAAACGTGATTTCAATCAGAAATAAAACTAGAGTTAAATATTCTATCAATCATCCCTATATATCAAGTCGTTTACGCGTCATGAAATAAACAAAGCGTGACGGAATGACGTTTTACGTAGACAGATCGTGAAGATAAACGTCAGAACTAAAAATAACTGATCCTATTCGAATGCTACAAAAGTTTTTTATATTAGTATATGTTATCAAACTATAGTTCAACTTCACAAAAGAAATATCGATTAAAATAATTTCTATTTTATTTCAGTTTATTTAACTATGACTACGAAAAAAATAGTTTATTATATGCGACATTTTGAAGCACTTCATAATATTGAACCTTATAATTTTAAACTTCCTGATCCTGAATTAAGTCCTGTTGGTCAAACTCAAGCTAAAACTGCTATTGAAATAATAAAAAATATTCCATCAATAGATTTGATTGTCTGTTCACCATTAACACGTACACTTCAAACGTATTTACTTGTTTTTAATGATCGACAAACGGTGCCATTAATCATTCACCCTGATTTACAAGAAGTATGTACTGAACCATGTGATATGGGTAGTCCATTAAATGATTTAAAAACAAAATTTCCAAATCTTTCGAATGAATTCAATACATTTGAACAAACATTTGGTGATATTGAATGGCTTAATAAAATTCATCCCGAGAATATTTATTCACCAGAACAAATTGAACAACGATCAAAACGTTTTCTTGATTGGCTTATGAATCGATCTGAAAAACATATTTTTGTTATTTCTCATAATTTGATGTTACAAAAACTTCTTCAAAATGATAATAAACAAAAAATTGAATTTAAAAATGGTGAAATTAAAACAATTGAATACTAAAACAAACATAAAATATTGTCACTAATTGTTTTTTTTCTGTCAAAAAATTCACAGATGTTATTTATCTATAAAAAAAGTATTAAATCATCTTTATTAAATACAATATTTATTCTCATGATTTATGTCATTTACGCACATGCTATATTTAGCTTTCAGCGAAAATGTCCTTAATATTGATTAAGTGATTTAGTAATAAGAAAAATATTTCACTCTGTTAATCATATGGTTTTTTTTCTCAAAATATTTCTACTCATTTATTTTAAGAAAGAGTCAAAATCAACATTTGAATATTTAGTATATCTCAGATTTTATAATCAAAATCTATTAATATATTTCAACCTAATGTAATGATCTGAAATCATTTGTTTGCTAAACATGTATATTTTATCAAAATCATTATATTTATTTAAAAAAAAATAAAATTTCGAAACATTTGTTATTCATATTCACAACCATTTTTTTCGTCTAAAACATGATAACATTATCAATGCTAATAGACCCATACAAGTAAGAACAATATAATATCCATATTTAAAATGAGTTTCAGGCATATAATCAAAATTCATTCCATAAACTCCAACAATAAATGTTAATGGAATAAATATTGTTGATATAATTGTTAATGTTTTAACAACTTCATTCATTGCATTTGAACTTAACATCATATAGAAATCAATAAATGACGCTAACATTTCTCTATAGGTATCAATTGTATCATTAACTTGAACAATATGATCAAATAAATCTTTTAAATAAATATTCGTACTTTCTTGCATTATCTGTGTTTCTTCTTCTTTTTGTAATTTATTTATTATTTCTTTTAATGGTGATATTGAACGACGAAAATAAAGCATTTCACGTTTAAGATCATATATTTTTTCTAGAGCATCACGTGATAATGTTTGCATTAATTGATGATCAATAGCTTCAACTTTAGTACCGATTATATCTAATACATCCATATATTGATCAACAATTCGATCGATTAATGAATAAAATAAATAATCTATTTTTGATCGTCGTACACGACCTTTATTTTGTCGTAAGCGATCTAAAAATAAAAAATAAACTATGTTTTCTTAGAATAAAAAAGAATTTCTAACAAACTTTTAATTGTTTCAAAAATATCTTTTGGTTTTTCTTGAAATGTTATAAGAATATTTTCTTTTAAATAAAAACTAATTTGTTCAATATGTGTAATTTGTTGAAGATTATCGGGATAAATCATTTTAGCAACAAGAAATAAAGCATCTTCGAAAACATCTAATTTAGTTCGTTGTTCAGTTATTTCAATATCGCCTATGACTAATGGATGAATATTAAATTGTCGACCAAGACGTGCTAATAAATCATGATCATGTACCTATATAAATTAATATTACAAAAAAATATTCGAAAATTTTTCTCTTACACCAGTTACATCGATCCATAAACATTCATGTTCTGTAATTGATCGAATATCTTCGATTGATTGATAACATTCTTCTTGAAATGTATCTTCACTATAGAAAAAAACAGTTGGTTGAACATTTAAATTTATTTTTAAATTTTCTCGCGATGAATTAATAATTGTTGGCGGAAGGCCAATAAGTGTACCACGACGATTTCTTGATAATGTTCGTGCTGGACTTGATTGTTCAGTTGATTTTTCACGAATATTATGTTCATCATTTTGTGATGAATGAATACGATGTCGTTTTAAAACGACTAAATTATCACAATGAAAAGATGGCATTAAAAAAATTATCTAATATATTAAATTTCTTTGTCTTGTGTAAAATAAAAATATATGTCATTTTCAAGACACTATATATATATATATATAGTCGAACGATTGTAAACGTCTATCGAATGAGGAGAAGAAGAAAAAAAACCAGACTTGTGTTTTCGTTTTAAAATAACTGACAATGGATATTGTGTAGAAGAATATTAGTCATATATTCTCAAAATAATAGTATAAAAACTTCTATTATTTGTTAGTATTTACTTGTATTGGTAATTATAAATCATTTTCATGAAATATTAGAGAATTTAATTACTTTCTACAATGACAAATATGATTTTCTCATTTAATAAATCAATTGGAATATTTGAGTATTACTTAAATTATCTGGATAATGAAAATGATTTATTAGGAAGTAATCATTGATAACAATATTAAATCTATAGAATATGACATATTTTTATCGGATTTTGTGCATGGAATTTATGATTCATTTAAATAAATAAGAATTTATCAAAATAATGCAAATTAATTGTTCGTATTCATTAGATATGATATATTTTAGGTGTATTATTCAGGTGATAAGGATAGCTCAATATTGCAAAGTTTCGCGATGGCCTTTTCAAATATTTGGACTATTACAAAGAATATATTTGCTTAAGTTCTACACAAAGGGTTAAAGAGGATTACTGTACTTATCATACTTTTCATTACTTCATTTGTACTATTTCGTGCTCTGACAAATGATTACATTTCATATCACTTTTAATTTATATGAATCATATAGGATCGTAGGAAGTGAGTCAAAACTGGCGTCAGCCAAACTAACGCCCTAAATCCACATTTTACCAATTAACTTCAGTTCATGTTTCATAATTTAGAATCCCTTCAACTATAGTTCAAAGTATCAATTCATGACTACTAGCTAGATGTGACGAAGAAGTGATAATCAGACAATATTACTGATGCCTTGTCGAATGTATTTGTACATATATTGTATAATTGAATCAAATATATATTTTATAAAGAATTCTTAAAAATATCTTTGACATATGTAAATAAATAAAAAAATATGCAATTCTTTTACAAAGAAATTTATATATGACACATTCTATGCTTATATCAGTGAAATAACATTCATTTTCTTATCAGTAACAAGTGAAAGTAAGAAAAAAGTGTTAAAGACCTTTTCATATTGTTTTATCAAGTGTCGTACTATTTACTCAGAGGTATTAAAAAGAAAATACTAAATAAAACAACAGTTTTAAGTGAATATTATTCATTATTTAGAACTGAAAACAAATGGCAAGCAAAAATACATCACCTAGTATTATGATAGGTGAAACACGAACTAGTAGTAGCAGTGGAAATAAACGTTTTGGTGGATTACGAAATATACCAAAATCATGGCTTATTGCTGCTATTATTTTTTATTGTGCATCAGTTATTACTGTTGGTTTACTTGCTGGTCTTCTACCACGACGAACACAACATATTACTATTCTTGCAACACCAACACAATCAGTAACAACTACTACACCTTCAATAATAACACCAACTGCAACAACAACAACAACATTAACATCAACACATGAACCATCAATATGTATCGAAGATGAGTGTAATCCACGTTTATCAAATGATTTAATTGTTCATAATTATACATTACAATATTTCTATAATGATACAACACAAACACATGTTCAAGGACTAGTAATAATTGAATTTACATTAAAACAACCTATGAAACAAATTATTTATCATTCAAAACGAATGATTGAACTTGAAGAACCAGTACTTTATGAAAATGATATTTATCAATTTGTATCAACGAGAAAATATATTCCTCATGATTATATAAGTTTACGTCTTATGGCAAACGCATCATTTCCAAGTAATCGATATAAATTAGTACAAAAATTTGTTGTTAGTTTAACTGATGGTAATACGGGATTCTATCAAAGTATATTTCAAGATGGAGATGAAACAATGGGGTAATTTAATGTATATATTTAAATATTTCTATTCATTTAAATTCTTTTAGAAAATTATTATCAACAAAATTTGAACCAACAGATGCTCGAAAAGCATTTCCTTGTTTCGATGAACCACATTTAAAAGCTGAATTTATTATAAATATCATCCATCCAGAGAATACAATTGCCATAGCTAATTTTCCAATAGTATGTTGATTTCAAAATTAAAAGAATTAATATCGAATTATATATTTGTTATTTTAAATAGGATGCAGAAGCACTGGTAGATGGTTTACGTCAGACAAGTTTTGAACGAACATTTCGAATGAGTACATACCTTGCAGCTTGGGCTATTCTGCCTGATACATATAAAGGATTAAGTGATAATGATGATGAACCACAGGTAGATTTTTATATAAATAGATTAATTGATTTAATAGATATTCGTTATTTTAGTTAACAATATGGGCTCGTCGAGAACCAACTGTAAAAAATCATACAGCACTTGCGTTAAAAATAGCAACTGGAGCTATTCCATTTTTTATAGAGTATTTCGATACAGCAGTACCAATGCCGCCTAAAACCGGTAAAGAAATTATGTTTATTTTTTCTTAATATTTTATAATTTAATGTCAATAAATAGATTTTTTGGCTGTACCGGATTTTTCATCAGGTGCTATGGAAAATTGGGGTCTTATTACATTTCGTGAAGATCGTTTGATATTTGATGAAAAAGTCGTTTCAACTACACAAAAACATCTACTTGCTGAAACAATCGTTCATGAACTTGCTCATTTTTGTATGTGTTAATTTACATATCGATAATTTGAATATATATATATATATATAGGGTTTGGAAATTATGTAACATGTAAATGGTGGGATGATTTATGGTTAAATGAAGCTATGGCTACGTGGCTTTCTTATAAGCCATTTACAGTTACTGATCCTGATTGGAAGATGGTAAGAAATATGTTATTGAAT